CTTAATTATTGAGAGACATGTTGATTCCCTTGGAAACTGACTAAGATGGAGAAGGTTACATGTAGAAGTTTCAGAGGAATGCTCTTGGAAGGTATGTGGGTAAGGATATGAGGGAGCAGGAAAGCAGGGGAAGAACCTAACTCACAATGTAGTTGCAACTGATGCTTCAGTTGATTCTCTGGAGTATTCTGGAGCTAAGATCACCCCTAGAGCTGTCCCAGATGGAGGTGTAACTCACCAAAGTGAGACAGTTCCCCGTGTATAGGGAACTGTACAGTGAGGAAAGCAGAGCTATTCAGAAAATGTTAGTTTTTCTTCCGTGTTCACTAATTTATGACTCCCTACTCCCAGGAGCTTATTCTTTATAACAATTTAACCATAGCCAAAGATGTGTTCTCTCAGGCAGATCATGTCCAGGTTTCTTAGTAGCACTTGAAAAAAATTCCTTCCTCCCTCCCTGCCTCCTTCCCTCCCTTCCTTCCTCAGCACTAGAGATTGAATTCAAGGCCTTGCTTGTTGCAGTCATTTTACCACTTTACCTTCAGCTCCCTTTTGCTCTGTGTGTGTGTGTGTGTGTGTGTGCGCGCGCGCGCGCGCGCATGAGCACACGTGCGCGTGCGTGCATGCAGGCACACATGAACACCTGTCCTGGGGCTTGAACTCAGGGCCTGGTTACTGTCCCTGAGCTTTTTTTGTTCAAGGCTAGTGCTCCAATTCCAGTTTTTTGGTGTTTAATTGGAGATAAGAGTCCCACGGATTTTCAGGTTGGCTTCAAATTTGATCCTAAGATCTCTGCCTTCTGAGTAGCTAGGATTACAGCTACTCAGCAGCCAGCAAACAGCACTTTGTATATTTTTGAGGTAGGATCTCCCTTTATTCCCAGGGCTGGCCTAGGCTGGAATCCTTCTGTCTGTTGCTGGAATGACAGGTGTGCATCACAGCATCAAGCTACTGTGCTTTCCTCTATAACTCGGATAACATGCCGCCACAACTAGCCATCATTTGAAATGGAATCTTGCAATTTCTTATGTCTGGCTGGCCTCCAACTCGATTCCCCCAATCTCTGCCTCCCAAGTAGCTAGGCTTGAGGGATTCTTAAGGCTTGAGGATTCTTTCCCCCTAATATTTATCTATATGCCCTATGCTTAAATAAATAGCTTAATATAACAATTCCAGTAAAATGAGAGACATGACTCAATGGTTCTAGGAAAGAATAAAACAAGCAAAAGTAACATTCACAAGAGAAGCTTATACACATCAAGTTCTCATCCTCACTCCCCTGAGAACATGATCTAGTCAGGGTAGCAACACTTCTTCCTTCTTGGCAGAGTTGTAAATACTTTGATCTTGACTAGCCCTGGGGAGAAAACAATAAGGTGGAGATCCAGGCTGCATTCTCTCAGCCTTCTGTATTAACAAATGATTGGCTGGAACACGATTACTCAGGTAGGCAGCTCATTTGCTAGCTTCCCTTGCAGCTAGTTGTGGCCTAAGCCCTCATCAGTGGATCTGAGCAGAAAAGACATATGCAACTTTTACCATGTGTATTTAAGAGTAAATATTTGGCCTTACATTTGTCTCTCCTCACTAACCAGAAATTCTCCAACCAAAATGAATTTGGGTTGCCATGAAGGTGGCAGTCACTGTCCTAGTACCCTGATCGAGTGAATTGAAACCTCTCTTCCTCTGAGAAACATCCATGAATATTTCCTTTTCTTCTTGACACATTAGTGTCTGTCCCTCACATTTTCTCATCTTATACTGTTCTCTGCTTTTTGTTATTTGCTGTTCTTTTGGTTTTGTTTGGTATGTCCTTCTCGCCTCTTCAACTAGAAGGATATTCTGCTGGGTGCTGGTGGTTCCCACCTATAATCCTAGTTACTCAGGAGATTGAGATCTGAGGATCAAGGTTCAGAGCCAGCCCAGGCAGAAAAGTCTGTGAGACTCTTATTTCCACTTAACTACCAAAAAGCTGGAATTGGCTCAAATGATAGAGCACTAGCCTAGAGCAAAAAAGCTCAGGGACAATACTGCCCAGGCCCTGAGTTCAAGCCCCAGGATTGACACCAACACACACACACACACACACACACACACACACAGGACAATACTGCCCAGGCCCTGAGTTCAAGCCCAGGATTGACACCAACACACACACACACACACACACACACACACACACACACACACCTAGAAAGATATTCGAAGAGGAGACTTTTGGTTTCTACTCTTCTTCCTCAACAACATAGCCATGGGGGTTGCTGATGAAACCCCCAACCCCAGACCTCTTCCCCAGGCTATAGGGCATGTTGGCTCCTGTTAGCCCAGCACTACCTTCTACCTCAGAGACTTGGTCTCAAGTAAATGTGACCATTCCTAGGAGGGTAAGTACTCCTTAGCAGCAAGCGGCCCTACACAGGGTAGAAAATGACAATCATGAAAGGTGGAACCAATTCTGTAGTAGCTATAGAACTTTCTCTGGGAACCAGATTATTATTGCTAATCTCCAACCAAGAGCACTTCTTTGACTAACTGATTTTACTGTCCTATACTATAATAAATAGCTTACGGCTGCCACCCTTCTCCAGATTCTCCCTCTCCTGAGAAACTCCCTGAACTTGGGAATCTGAGGTAAAGAAGGAAGCAGGCCTAGTATGGCTGTTCTTGTGACTTTAATGGTCCATCTGTGGAGGCTCTCTGCATATTTGTACTCATAATTCAAATCTTGTAAGCAATATCAGCTATATAATGCTACTATGAGGAGTGGGTGGGTGTTGTACCAGACATTGAACTCAGGCCTTCAAATCATGCTTGGCTTTTTCTCTCACAGATAGTGTTCTACCTTGAGCCATGCCTCCAGTCTGGCTCTTTAGCTGGTTAATAAGAGATAGAGTCTCACAGACTCTTCTATCCAGGCTGGCTTCGAACCTTGATCCTCAGATGGGAGTCTCCTAAGTAGGTCTGAGCCAGCAGTGAGTTCATGGGCATGGAGGTATACACCTGTGATCCCAGTAATTTGAAAGTTGAGGCAAGAGGATTGGAGTTAGAGGCCAGCATGAACCATATACCAAGCCAGGTCAGCTTGGGCTACACAGCAAGATTGTCTCAAAAAATATGGTGAATTAAAGATGTATAAAAAGCCTAGACCAGCGCCTTGCATGTGGCAAATGTTCTTAAGTATATGAGCAGGGACTTGTTATGTTTACTCATATATCCCATGTAGGTCCAGATGATTTCTTGGTACATGGTATGCACTTATTACCTGAATACTAATTCTTACTCTTCACCATGCTCTATATTTTATCTGGGAATTTAGGGTAGGTAATCTTTAAGCTCTTTGAGCTGTGGATTTCATAATTCTTGAAGTTGTGAGCAGGGCTTGAGGTAATGTGCTGGGATTTGGCCAGCAGAGGGCAGAACCTGTTCAAAGATCTGCTGAGCTGAGTAAGTGGGACAGAGCTCCCAGACAGTGGTTTGGAGTTCCTGGTCAGTGGAACAGGACAGATGTGGGGGACGAGTGAGGGCTGAGAAGAAAGCTTAAGTCTTAGAATATTAGAGTGGTTAAATAGACCATTCTACGCTTTTATGTAGGCTAACCCTCAGTAACAAGATACACTGAACTCCTACTTGGTGAATTCACACAGAGAAGTTGTTCCAGGTCCCGTTTCCTAGAATTGTCCAAGTACTTAAAGCATCTCTGTTGAACTCATGAGCTACCCCATGCCACTCATAACTGCTCCTTGGGGATTACATTAATATATGTTATGTTTCTGTTACTTGCAAATGAAAAGATTTGAATTATTTTAGAAAGCCTTGTGAGTACAAATATGCAGAAAGCCTCCACAGATAGGACATTAAAGTCACAAGAAAAACCATACTAGGCATGCTTCCTTCGCCCACCTCAGCTCCTCTAGTGTTGGGATGGAAGACATTCACTACCATGTATGGCCACAAAATCTTTCATGCCCAGATCTCCTGCACGTGGCAATGTGTTTTGAAAAGGCCAGACCAAAGTTCCCAAGTACCAATCATGGCATTCACCCTCCTTTGTGGACAAGTAAAATCATAAATGTTAAATGTGTTTAAAAGCATGAAATGTGAATTTATATGAAGAAACACAACTCAAGAGTTCTTATCTGTGATAATTATTGCTGCTTCTAATGGTTGTTAAAGATTATACTTAAAAAAAAAAAGAAAATGTGTAGCTGGGAGCTGGTGGCTCACGCCTGTAATCCTAGCTACTCAAGAGGCTGAGATATGAAGATCATGGTTCAAAGCCAGCCCAGGCAGGAAAGTCCATGAGACTCTTGTCTCCAATAAACCACCAGAAAACCAGAAGTGGCATGGTAGCTCAAGTGGTACATCGTTCCCCAAGAGCTGAGGGACAGAGCCCAAGCCCAGAGTTCAAGCCCCAGGACCAACAAAAAAAACCAAAAATGTGCCCCCCAGAGCATTTTCCTGTTTCATATCCCTCTGCCATACTTCCTCTTCCAATACTGTAGCCACCTGTCATAGTCATTGTCTTTTAAAAATATTTGTTATTATTAGGTAGTTTATAAAAAAAAAAGATTTCAATTCCACCAGTCAGGTTATAGTCATTATCTTGTCATATTTTTTTCTCTCAGTACTAGAGATTGAACCCAGAGCCTAACAGGCAAGCACTTTGCCACTTGAACTACATTCCTGTCCTTGTGATTTAATATTGTGTGTGTGTGTGTGTGTGTGTGTGTGTGTGTGTGTGTGAGCGTGCTGAGATTTGAACTGAGGGCTTGGTATTGTCCTTGAGCTTTTTTGCTCAAGGCTAGCACTCTACCACTTGAGTCACAGTTCCACTTATGGCATTTTGGTGTTTAATTGGAGATAAGAATTTCAGAATTTTCTTCATGAACCTTCATCCTCAGATCTCAGCCTTCCTAATGGTTAGGATTATAGGTGTGAGCTACCAGTTTCAGCCTGTTTAAACATTTTTTTAATTATCTTTCAGTAGTTGTACAAAAGAGTTTCCACTTGTCAGTTAATGAGTGCAATGCATCTTGATCAATGTCACCTCTTTAATTTTATTTTTAGGGTTGGGTTTCACTAATTTTTCTTGAACTCCTTTGAACTATTTCTAATCTATCTCCTGAGTAGCTGGTATTACAGGCATTCCTGACCACACCAGGCCCTTTTAGTACTTCTTTGTTCATGGGCTTCCACTATTTATAGTGTCTGTCTCTGCCTGAAGAAAGTCTTATGCACAAGGCTCAGTCCTACTAAGCCCCAGTAATGACCTTTCTTTTGTGGATCTTATGGATGGAGACATGGGGCCCTATGTGGTCCATCACTGAGTTCTGGAGGCTGAAGAAAACAACCCTCAGGTGTTTTGACTTTTCCAGCATGCCCGGACACCTCACATCAGATCATAGACACACGGTTCTTGATGTACACATGATAAGGATCACTGCGCTTGTCCACTTTGCGGGAACGGGTATATCCCAGGATGAGGCTGCCAACAGTGACTGCAAAAAGGAACATGACAAAGAGAATGTACATGTAGGAGTTGTCATTGCGGCCAGGGAGGCCGGTCTGCAGTGCCTCAGTCTGCTTGTTGGGGTCTGGTCCAGACCCTTGCCCTTGTCCTGGCCGACACAGCAAGTTGTTTTGAAGAGAAGCATTTAGAGCCTTCAGCACAGCATGCAGGCTCTCATACAAGGTAACAGTCCCATTGGTAGTCTCCATAGCAATGGAAATTGAGGTAAGGGAAGATCTGTGAATGCTATGATGGTGAGAGAAAAAAGGGAAGAGATGGCTTCAGTTACTCGCAGCTTGATCAGGCCCCACTCATCAGACCCGAGCCCAAATCCCAACATCATGGTTTCCTGTCATTATGTGTTTTACTTGGCTCTCTTCTCCACTATCCCACAGGCTCAATAAAGGTAGCTTTCCTCACTGCTGTATAAAAATTCTGTGATGGCACACCACAGATGCTCAATAAAAACTTGTAAATGAAGTCTTCCTGACCTCTGTACACCATATCAATCTCTCCTTTCTTTGGATTATGTAAGTCACTGAACTTCAGGCTAGAAAGCCCTTAGGTATTATTATTATTATCATGTTACACCTCTAGTTCTGGCTTTTTGCTGGTTAACTAGAGATCTATGAAACTGAGATCCAGATCTCAACCTTCTGAATAGCTAGGATTATAAGTGTGAGCCACCAGTGCCAGCTCATTAGGAATGATTTAATATAGCTTCTTCCATGGGAAAGTGAGACCCACGTGAGTAAGTAACTAGCCCATGATCTCAGCGTATCAATGGTAGAGCCAATGTGTCTACTTTCAGGACTCTTCTACGTGCCAAACACACACAGTTCACAGATCCTAAAGCCATCCTTCATTTAGGTAGAACTATTAAAACAATGATAACACGATCATTATCCAGTCTCTTCCACAGAAAATATAATAGTCCTGACCATGCTAAACATTCGCAGGTGGCTCTATGTGTAAGTTGGGGAGCAGCATCTGAATCATACAGCAGTCCCGAGGCTAGCCCACATTTCATGCAAGGCCTGTGGGGCCCACTGTCATCTAGGACTTGGCTGTCTCATTTGAATGAAGGAGAGGAAAATACCAAAGGCTCACAGCAGCACAATGAAATGAATGGTTCAATGAATCCCTTACCCTAGTCAGGATTGAGCTAACCCAGGCATGGGCTGAGAGACTGGGGAGGCTTGAACCCAGTGTCTGCACTCCAGGGCTCAGTGCCAGTTGAATAGGATGAAGCAGCAAGCTGGGAACTACTTCAGCTTAGAGGCAGAAATGATGAGTTCTGCTTAAGGCTTACATTCACAGGGTTGGAGACATTTGAACCAGACCTTGATTGGTTTTTAGGAGATAGAGAAGGCAAAGGAAGAATAAGCAAAGGTGCATCAACGAGAAAGTACAAACATGTTTACAAGAACAGAAGGCAGCACAAAGAGAATAGAGCATAAGGTATGTAGAGGGATAAGTTAGGATGTGGGCAAAACTGATGGAAGCCAGATCCTGGAGGCCATTGAATGCTACGCTGCAGAATTAGAACTTTATCCTTTAGGTGGAAAAAAAAACAACCATGAGCCAGGTATGGTAACTCATGCAATCCCAGTGACATGGGAGACAGAGATAGGAATACTGTGGTCTAGGCAAAACTTAGTGAGACCCTATCTCAAAAAAAAAAACTGGAAGAAAAAGAAAGAAACAAAGAAAGATAAAAGGAAGGAAGGATGAGAAAAGAGGAAGAAAGAAAGAAGAGAAAGAAACGAAGAATAAAAGCAAGCAAGCTGGGCATGATGGCACATGACTGTAACCCCAGTTATGAATGAGACAGATAGAAATAGGAGGACCACAGTCCAAGAGCAGCTCTAGGCAAAAAGTCTAAGGGCTCTATACATTGACACACAATGAGACTAAAGGAGGATACACTTAGGGGAGAAACTCCTCAGTAGCTAAAGTACTACTTAAAAAACAAATTCCAGAAAATGAAACCATGGGTGGTGGTTGTTATTGTAGATGTTCATTGTTTTTGTTGGGTTTTGTGTATATATGTCCCAGTCCTAGGGTTTGAACTTAAGGCCTAGTTGCTATCCCTGGGCCGCTTTTGCCCAGGGTTGGCACTCTACCACTTGAGCCATAATTCTACTTCCAGGTTTGTTGGTGGTTTATTGGAGATATGAGTCTCACGTACTTTCCTGCCCAGGCTGGCTTTGAACCGGCATCATTAGATTTCAGGCTCCTGAGGAACTAGGCCTACAGGTATGTCTTTTTGGGGAAGGGTGGCAAAAGGGGGCATAGAAATGGAGGGAGGAGAGGTGAACAAAAGCAGTTATGGTATTTAATATATACTATGCAACAAGTAAAAGATGCAACTTATGGGCAGGGACAGGAGTAGGAAAATGAAGGAGGGGGGGTGACATTGTCCAAGAAGCATTGTACTCATCACTTGTCTTACAGAATTGTAACCCCTTTGTACAACTCCTTAATAATAGCACATAAAAGAGACAGAATCTTCTAGCTTCCTTGTAGACTGGAGGGGACAACAGCTGAGGAAGGTCCTGGTGACAAGGATCCTGAAAAGGTTTAGGAGCAAAAGGCTGAGTCCTGGCACAGAGCGGAGGGGCTGACAAGGCGGGAGCTGGGACAGATGTGAGGTGAGAGGTGTCTGGGTGACAGAATGGCTACCTTGAGGGTTGAAGGAAGACAGCATGTGTCTGCTCACTTTGAAGAAAATAAAAGAATAAAACTGTTGCCATCATTTCCTTATCTATCAATATGACTCATGCCTGTCATCCTAGCTACTCAGGAGGCTGAAGATCCAAAGACTGAGGTTCAAAGCCAAGTGGGGCAAGAAAGTCTGTGAGACTTTTTTGGGGGGAAGGAGTTTGTGGGGCTTGCACTCTGGACATGGGCACTGTTCCTGAGCTCTTCAGCTCTAGGCAAGCACTCTATCACTTGAGCCACAGCACCACTTCTAGTTTTCTGGTGGCTAATTGGGGATAAAGACTTTCCTGCCAGGGCTGGCTTTGAACTGCAATCCTCAGATTTCAGCCTCCTGAGTGGCTAGGATTACAGACACGAGCCACTGGTACCCTGCTCTCTGTGAGAATCTTATCTCCAACTAACCACAAATTAAAAAACTGGAAGTAAAGCTGTGACTCAAATGGTAGAGCACCAACCCTGAGCAAAAAAAAAAAAATATCTAAGAGACAATGGCCTGCTCAGAGCTGCAAAATGAGGAAGAGGCAGAAGAAGAAAGAGAAAAAAACCTATATACACAGAACAAACTTCAGAAACACAATGGCTCACCCCAAGGTCTGTGCCTAAGGGTTGTGCAATAAGGCTTTCTCTTTCCTGTAGCAGCTTGGTCAGACCAGCCCAGAGATGAAGTTATAGGAACTATTCAGAGGCCAAGAAACATCTGACTACTGTCTCCCCATGTCTTCACTGGGTGAGTAACCTCTGTTTAACATATGCCCAGGGAGCAGCCCAGGAGGCAGTTAAAAATCTTCCCCTACCCAAGGGTACTGGTACCTTAGTAGGAGACTTGTAGAATCCCAAGGGAGAGATGGGAGTGGTAGAATGGAAGTCAGTAGTTACTTAGGAGCAATTGCTGTATTACCAATCAATGTGTTTGGACAGACAGAAAAATAAACACACTTCCCACAATAAACGCTATAGTGTAACTTTGCTGTAAAAATCAAAGGAACACAGGCAGTGCTTGATGCTAGACAATCCAGATGGTGGAGGCAGCTTTACTTTTGTAGAGCAGAGGTCATAAAGGGTCTTCAGAATTCATTTAGTCTGAGTGCTCTCGTTTTACCATGAGAAATGGAAATATAGGCAGCTATCTTGGTGAAACTGCTTCTGGGGGGCATAAGTGACTTCCCTTTTCTGGCCTGCAGCTTCTCTCTATCTACATCCAAAAAAGGAAGGAGTCATGGTCAGGTCTAAGGTCCTATGACAGTCTGAATCACAATACAGTGCTATGAGATCTTGGGTGGATAGGATGGTGGGAGGAGTATTTTGGGGACATGTAGAGCTCCTCAAATCCGAAGACAGAGAAAGCTGAAGAGTTTTTCCTCAGATATTTGGGTATTGTTGAGGTATTTAGATATTTCTGTAGATATTTAGACATTCCTGAATCCTGGGGCTGATTTATGCTACATATACCAGCTTTGATAAACTGAAGGATTGAGGCTGCGGATGTGGCTCAAATGATACACCAAGGGCCAAGGTTGACTTGCCAGTTTTTCCTCTTTGCAATTCCTGCCAAGGTGCTCTATTTTGAGGAAGGAGAAAACAGATTGTGATGAAGTAGAAGTAGGAGACAGTGTGGAAGACAGGTGGAGTTCTGAGATGGGGTTCACTAAGGGGAGTAAAGAATCACAAAACCTTTCATCCATAGGACTCTTCTGCCGATGCCTTTCTGGATGTTTGTGGTTTTAAATGGAGGAAGCTATAGTTTACCCATCTTTTGGTGCTAAGTTTGGATAGGGATGGAGCTGGGCAAGAGGACATTCTGTTTGGGTTGATAGAAGCAAGAGAGCTTATGAAAGGACTGGTTGGTTCTCTCTACCTTGCCTCTGGGACCCTGGTTGGGGACTGATAATCAGTAACAGTGGCAATGCTGCTCCTCTTGAGTTTCTTGGCTTCCGTCTTCGGGATAGTCACTGCTGACCTTGAAAGAGAAGACAGAGCTCCCGTTCTGGCAAGGCTTCTATTTGAAATACAAAAGAGACAAGTTCTTTCTTTGAAATTGTGAACAGTTACTGGGCATGCTGAAAAGAACTTTAAAGATCACTGCTGAACGCCAGTGGCTTACACCTATAATCATAGCTGCTCAGGAGGCTGAGATTTGAGGATCTTAGTTTGAAGCTAACCCAGACAGGAAAGTCCACCAGACTCTTATTGCCAATAGACTCCCCAAAAAGCCAGAAGTGGAGCTGTGGATCAATTGGTAGAGCCCGAGCCTTAAGTAAAACACTCAGGAATAGCACTCAGGCCATAAGCTCAAACCCCAAGACTGGTACACACATACACACACACACAACAAAAAACCATCTGCAGTTTGGATTCTAGGCACCCCCCCTCTGTTCTGTAGTTGGGGAAACTGATGCTCCAGTGGGAGAAGTGACTAGTCTAAAATAGCCCAGTCAGTAAATGGCAGAGCTTGAATGAGAACCTGGTTTGTTGTGCTCGGTCTAGATGTTTTCCCACAACTAACAGCAGTGTTCCCCTTGCTGAGCTACGTATCATACCAAATGCAGCCTCCTCACGTTATGGGGCATCCTTTCTTCTCCAGACACTGTCTTTTCCTGCACTACAGGCCCTGCCAATCTTAGTCCAGGATCCAATAGGGGAGATATTGGGAAGTTTGGAAGGGAAGTTAACGTTCCTCTATGGTCTTGTTTCCCAAGGCTCTTGTACTCTCATTCAATGCCAAACTCCCATTTCCCTCACATAAACAAGTTCTCATTAAATGTACTACACTTCCAACTTAGCCAGTCTCTAACAGTCTAAACCTTGTCCATGTGATGTGATGGATGAACTGAATATCTTGGTGCAATTTTTCTTGAAGTTTCTCTCTAGGGAAAAAGTGAAACTCCATCATTGGTTCTTTTTAGTTCCTCATTGCTGTGTTCAGCTATTCTTTCTGGATGAGTATCTTAAGAGTCTGGAGTTAAGGAAGAAACAGGCAGGTAGAAAGTCACAGAAAGCAAGGAAGGGGTCCAAAAGCAAGTCGCGGGATGTTTAGTGTTGCCACTGTCCTCAGGGTGATCTTTGTCACTACTGTGAACTGGAGGGCCGTAGTGTGGGAGAGGAGCTGAAGGTATAGGCTTTAATATGTCATTGGAAGGAGACACAGGAACAGAATAGGGAAGGGATCTTGAGGATCACACTATTGGTGTATAACCCCTGTACTCAACCAGCAGAAAAAACAGCCCCCAAAGGATATCACTTGCTCAAGGTCTTACAACCTAGTTGAGCTGGAGCTGGCACCAGAAACCAGATGTTCTGACTCTCCTTCCACAGATCAGTTCCCTGCTTTCTGCCAGGCGGAACTGAAAGTCTTCTGTCATTCAAACTCCTTAGGATGTGACCCTGCCAATGGCCCCATCTCCTTATGGTTCTCCACAGTGCCCGTGGCTGACGCTGAGCCACATGCCATTCTCCAAACGTCTCTGACCTTTGGATAACTCTTGCACTTGATTACTCTGTTTCCTTAGCCAAGAATTCCCTTCTCCTTTCTGTGTTTTTGGTACCAGTTCAGGGGCTTGAACTCATGTCCTGGGCACGGTCCTTGAGGGTTATTACTTATTTATTTTGCTTAAGGCTAGCACTCTATAATTTGAGCCACATCTCTACTTCCAGCTTTCTGGTGGTTCACTGGAAATAAGAGTCTCATGGACTGTCTTGCCGAGGCTAGCTTTGCACTATGATCCTCAGGTCTCAGTCTCCTGAGTAGCTAGGATTACAGCCCTGAGCCACTAGCACTCTGCTCCTTTTTCCTTTCTATCTGTTCAGCAAACTTCTACTCATCCTTCAAGACCCATCTCTAGTGTCACTTGTTTAAATCTTCCCAGAGACAACACTTTCCCTATTCTCTAGCCTATTAGTCTCTCCCTTTTGTCTGTGCCCAATGTGCACTGCACAAAGCTTTATTAGCACATGATGTTGTAATTGTGTGTGAAATGTCTTCTCTTCTATGAGAGCATCCCTCTCTCTTTAATACACAATCCCACTGATTTATGAAGACAGTTTTCTGTACTTAAAAAAAAAAAGCAATTTCAAGGGCGGGACAAAAGGTTCCCTCTAGACTGGGAAAGAAAGGCTGAAAGCAAAGAAGCCACTGGATCAGCTGGCATGAGTTAGGGGAAGATGAATTCTGAGCCTCTTCTGGAAACCAAGACACTCCTTGCACTTGAACCCCACTTAATCCAAAGGGCAAACATTCTTGGCCCCCAAACAAGGCACCGGCTTTGCAAGTCTCTTCCCTATGTACTCACGTAGGGTGTGGCCATCCACACCCACACACTGAGCACAGACACACAGTCCAAGTCCCAGTCTTGGCCTGTGATCTTGCTTTGCAAGAGTACTTTTCATGACTCCAGTCTTTGCTATATGTTGCCCTGTGTGACCTTGAGTGCTGTATTTGTTTCCTCTGAACCACATCTGCAGGATGGAGGCAATTATCCCTGACCTGCTTACCTCACACAAGGAATGAAGGAGACAATAGATGGGAAAGTGTTGTAGAGACTGCAAACACCAGAGAAAATGATTGCACAGCCTGGTCACACTGTTCTTATTCCTGTCTCCATATCTCTCTAGAGATATTGCCAAGATCAGATACCCCCTCTACCTATTGGCTCAGCAGAACCCAGGGGGGTTCTTAGTGCTCACATCTTGTTCTCAGAAATGCTTTCCTTCTTCAAAACCCTTCCTTGTTCCTCACCTTCTCTGATGATCTCTAGAGTCCTTATCATTCATAAATATCAGTTGTGTCCTGGTCATCTAGAGACCTGGGTTTCTGCCCACTTTGCCAGCAGGTGTAGCCTTTGTTGTTTTTTTTTT